TTCGATTGATGTGTTCATGATTGCTAACGCAGTCCATAAAAATGTGAGTGTTTTCTGAAAGCATTCATCTCACTTTGGAATCACACAACAACAAACCAGCCGCTAATTATTGTTCATGTCTGGCTCCCAGTTCATATCACACAGCAGAGTAATTCAGTGTTCAACTGAAAGCTGTCTCCAGATAACCTGGACTTTCAATAGAAATAAAAAATGATGTGTAAACATAATGTAAATCAATAAAAAGTTCAACTTATTATTACTCATTAATGTTGCTGTGTTGATTTTAAGAGCAGAAACAATAATGTCACATTACTCACGCTGGGGACAGAATGGCCTTGTGGCTAACTGATAAGAACGAGATAAGAGGAGAAGAAAGCACCAGGTTTAAAATTTATGACGTGGCCCTGACGGTTCATCCTCAGGTTTGTTTTTTCTACAACTAACTTTGACCTGTGACCTGGCACTGAGGAGGAAACTGAATCATCCTACTACAAACTACTACTTAACAAGCTGTAACTGAGGACTCAGTGTCTTTAAAAAGTGTGCATGCCGAATGAACAGAGTGATGTCATCTTCCCCAAGTGTTATTCTTGGCAGTGCAGTAAAACACGTCACACTCTGAAATGAAGAACAATTCATTCCAATTTTCATCGACCATCAGTAGAGTAAAGATCAATAAAGCTATTGCATTGGTTTTAAGTTTGTCGCCGGTTAGTTGTAATTGATTTTAACAGCTTTATACTTATTACTTATTCTATTACAATATTGTCTTTAAAACTTACTTAAAGTACAGATGAGTAATCTGTATAAGTATCAAAACTAAAAGTAATCCCTCTATATCATTATGTATATTATAGGGATGTTATTATTGGTGCATTAACATAGCTATATTTTTTTGCATCTGAAAAAGAAACTGTTGGGGTGTAGAAGCATGAACTATCATAACAAGCACTCATAAACAAAGTGTACAATAATTGTAAAAATTCATGTTCTATACAGTAGTTGACTAAATGTAATTTTCAACCTTTGTATCCACAGTAGTAGACATTAACTTTTTTGTTTGACCTGCAATCCCTCTACTAGCCACCAGGTGTCTCAGCTGAGCTTTTCACCCAAGGCAAATCAATCACATTTGTTTATGAGCAGGGTTTAAGCAGAAACGCAGCACTGTCTCTCTCTCACACACACACACACACACACACATACACACACACACACACACACACACACACACAGATGACTAGACACCTGCTCTGCAGCCTTGATCTGGAGGTGGCCGCAGCATGCAGTGGAGCCTGCTGCCCCCCTGCAGAATGAGATCATCTGAAGGGGACGCGGAGCGAGGCAGCCCTGCAGGTCCCTGCCACTGCAGAGACGAAACTGGCCTCTGCTACAACCAGGGTCAAGGACGGGGCAGCTTCTCAAACACTCTGTCCTGCCCCTGTCACTTCTTTTATTGCCGTTACGCACCGAAGTACACACTCATGCAGACAGCTACCCCTGCATAAACCCTGCAGTGCTGCTTGATTCCTCCAGTTTCAGTTTCGACATGATTGACTAGGCGCGTAAACTGAGATTGAGCCCACAACAGCACATACAGGTTTTGCAGAGGAAACTTCTGTAAAGAATACAAATCCTCAGCGAGTAGAGTTGCTGACACCTGTGATGCGAAGGCAGGACAGAAACGGCCACTGAGGATGAAATCACCTTGGCGAGAGAGAGCTTTGTCGTGTCACACTTCTGGAAGGTTCCAAGCAGTGTTTCATGTGCTGCGGCGTTTGAACTCCAGCTCCTCGCTGACTGCAGAAGACAACCTGGAGGCACGCCAGAGAGAGGGAGAGTCAGAGAGAGTAAGAGAAACAGAGAGAGGGGACAGGCGGGGGGGTGAAAAATGAGGGAGTGAAGATCAACAGCAGGGATTCTATTTGACAGCCAGTAAGTGGTTTTGTCCCTCGGATCCCCTCAAATAAAACAAGTGACATGTGCGAGTTTCGAGGCGTCTGATGATCAAGAGCCAGGTCCCAACAAAAACAGAAACATGTTCAGGGGGATGGGAACAGAACTGCATGCTTAACACTATATCCATTTCATCACAACATGATTGAAATAGGCTGCGAATAGCAGGCCCGAGCAAATCCTCTTAACTGATTTAAGGCCATTAATCATTTCTGCTTCATGATGTAATTTTGGAAAACAAGTCATTTCTCAGTAACAGGTAGGATTGGCTCATATGTGGCGGCCAGACTGATGTTGGACCTTACGCGGCTAATGCCCTTAGTGCATGGCAGTAAAACCATTCACCCTATCTGGAGGTGGTTTGCTGTGTAGACCGTTAACTTTGTCCATTGACTGCACCAGACCTTTGGCCTGAAGCGCTGGTAATCAGGTGTAGCCGAAATTGCCCATGGGTTATAAAAAATACATACATGCACGAACACACCCAGTCCTTGTGGGTTTTACCATCTGTGTGCGCATAGGGAAGCACTGCGCAGAGGCATTATATAGGCTAATCTAACACACACACACACACACACACACACTTATGTATGTTGGATTAGCATTAACACATACAGGCCCGAATGTGCACAGGCTCAAACAATTTAAACGTCTTTTCACTATGGCAGCTACATCCATGACAAACAAACGGCCATTCTCTCCTATGAAAGGTGATCCACTCCGTTGGCATGAGACCAGCAGGTGCATTACAAAGCCTCATTCATTAATAATGGCGTGCGCGTCTTTCAGTTACACAGGTAAACATCTTCTCATATTTGTCGCCAGTGCTTTATCCCTCAAAGTCCTCTCAGGTCAGGTACACCGATCAGCCTTCTCTGCTCTGGATGCGTTTTGCTTGAAAGCTGCTTAACTTCAAGTCCTGAGTGCAACACCTTGCACACGTCTACCGCACAGCGTCTCTCATGTGCTGTGTGCCAACCCCCCCCCCCCATCTCCACAAACTGAACTGACCCACATGATAAGTTTTTTTTTTGTCCTGTGAATGGAACAATGCTATCAGTGGGAGTGATGTTGTACAGGCTGGGAGGTGACATTAATGAAAATGGAGGGTCTGATTTCGGCCTCGTCTCTGCGCAGCTCAAATGAACTTTGGCCCCTGTGGAAATGAAATCTGCAGTTTTATTAAAGTGTCCTGGGCTAGGCTTTGCGTCTGATAAGGGCTGACATGTATTCTGCGAGGTGGTTACATATTCACAGAGCTGAAAACCGGAGGGGAAACATAATGGTAACGCAAATATATAAAAGGCAACACTGCGACGTTTACTGCATTGTCTTCCACGTTGAGGGTAAACTCCTGGTTTTCATCAGGAAGATTGGCTTCAGCTTTTATGGACCATTAAGTCATGTCTCCTGAGTTCCAGTATGCCCTGTCCATATTAACCTTCATCTTACAGTCACCTTTGACCCGGAGCGGCTCCTCTGAGACCTGGGGATCATTGAGGGGGAGTGTCATCAACCGAGCAAACAGCTGATTGTGCATATTGGATGAAGTGCAGCTATAGAAATTGGGCAGGAGGACAAAGTACAGAGCTCTTCTGATATTGAAATATTTATGACCCACTAACAATAAAGCATTGTCTCTGAAGGGTAATTCACTGTAGGTGTTGCACAAGAATGTCGGAGAAATGCAGAAAAAGGCTTCATGGCAGCTGCGTATTAGCATCTAAGGTCACAAGTATTTTAAAAGAGGCAAAACGTGAATTCATACACCTCCACACACTGCCGCTCACACATGCTCCAGCTTATCTGATTCTTGTGACAAGTTTAGGCCTTTGTGCCGTCACCTTTGCCATTACATAATCTGCACGGTGACAAAAACCCTGTAGTAGAAAAACAGATTTAAATGAAAGGAAACCAATGTGCTCCAGATTAGGCAGGTTGCAGGGGGGGGGGAGAGAAAAAAGCCCAGGTGATTCTGAGGCTGCTCAGCAGAACACATGAGGCAGGCGCCATCACCTCTGTAAACAGTGCAGATGTGAGGTGGTGGGGGGGGGGACCACTTTGGATCCTCGTTTTCTTACATCAGCATTGGGAGCTTTTGCACAATCCCTGCTGCTCGGCTCGTGGTGTGACATCTACTAACGAGAGAGGCAGCAGCATCAGGAGGAAAAAGAGGGGAGAGAGAGAGAGGGGGGCTGTTTGGGGGACGTGGAGATTCTAGCACATTCTCCGAGAGGATGCTCCTGGCACGTCTCTGTCTGTCTGTCCCTGCACCCTCCTCCACGGCATCTCCCGTGGGGATCGTGGGGGAGGGCCGGAGGCAGGTGGTCACTGGGAGACAGGAGGGCAGTCAGGCATAAGCAATCAGGCCATCAGATACCCCCATCCACACACACACACACACACACCAGCACAATTAGACCTGAGATCACACATCTAAACGTGCACACACACCTATTACCAGCTATTAAACAGTTGCACTTCACACAAACTTCACTTCTGCGTAGAATTTCAAATGATGGGGACTTGCAGTGGCAGACCGGTAGACAGGGGGAACTTTAGGCACAGGGACTGTGAGTGTGTGGTAACCTTGTAACACACATTTGAAAAATATCAACCTCGAGTGATCTAATAAGGAATGAACACACTGATCATGTGAACGGGGTCGGCAACGTTTCACAACCGCAGCCGATCGCTTCTAAAGCCACGTCTGTGCACACGATGTGCACACGCACCGCGCAACAGGCCTGTCTGCGGCGCCTGTGGCTCCGATGTGTGCGGACAAGACGCAGCGGCAGCGCAGACCATGGGAGTGACGCATTGCAGGTACAAACGCACCAATCAGAGAGCGCGGTTTCTCCCAGCGACGTCCTGCGCCCCACCGCGGAGTAGCGGAAAGTATTCCTGCGCCGCCATGTAGACCTCCGGCGACGGGTGACGCCGTCGGTGAATAACGACAGCAGAACACGCGCGACAGCCGCACACGCGTGTTTCAGCCGCTTGTCGGTTTTTCCGCGTGAGAGGCGATGGTTGTAAATGTGTTTTTTCAGGGATTAGAAAACCGAGGAAGAGGGAAGTCGGCGGAGGGATATGGAAAAGAGGCGGAGTTTAGGGCAGCGCTTAAAGGCGGGTGCTGCCGCCTCTTCCTCAGTGTGTTCATAGACTCTGGTCACTGCGCGGATTCTGTGCTGGCCCCGCTTCTTACGGATTTTGTCGTGAATCAGCCGCTGCACCCACATCGAAATGGTAAGAGACGCCACATTTGTACTCTCTCTGCTGTCTAGAAATGGCGGACGGTCCTCCAGCTCCCCGTGAACGCTTGAACTGAATGTCGGTAAAAGAGGACGGTACCGCTGACTAAGCTTAAGCCGACGCTCGGAGCTGTAACCACCGCAGTGCCCCACGAGCAGGTGACAGCTCGGTAGTCGCTGGGCTGTCAGGGAGAGCTAGCGTTAGCTTTAGCTGGGCTGCTCTGGATCAATGCAGGAAACAACGGTGTGAAGAACATTAGCATAACCCGAGACAGGGCAGGTCCGTTAATAACGCTTGCGTTTGTGGAAGCCCAACACATTTCGAGCTAATGCTAAATCCCGTCAGTGACAGATTTGCGAAATACGTGTGTGCTGTCACTGGAGGACAGGGGCTGTTGTCAGAAAATAATGGTGACTGTTGTACGATCAGTCATTCTGCTGAGTGTGTGTCTGTGGGGTCTGTTACTGTAGCTAGCAAACTTTAGCTCTCCCAAGCTAACGGTTACCGCCAAAAGTCATTCATTGTCTGTGGCGAAGTTTGCGTCATCGGGCATTCAAATGGAGACGACGTTTGAACGTACGCTTTGTCCATGTTCTTCCCCTCACCTCCAGGGATAAGATTGGTTCCGCCACGATAATACCATGCTTTTATACTTACAATATTACAGTTGCATTGATGGCCGTCCTAAAGCACATTGTAATGACATTTTGCCAGCTGAACTGAAATGTGTGTCAGGTGATTTACTTAAAATCTCGATGAAAGTAGCTTCTAGGTGCAAACGCTAAGTGGGGATTTTTTTCTATTTCTGCTCTGACATGCTAATAATTACTCCATCTTCTATTTTCCAGGCTGATCAGCTTACAGAAGAGCAGATTGCTGGTAAGACATCGCTGCATTGATCTCCTACTGTCCTCATATCCTGCACAGTGGCCTGCATTATGGATCATTGCATCCCTTGCAGCGGATTTACACTTTTGCCTTTTAAGGCATTCCACACGGTAGCCTACTGGTCATAAAACAGGAATGAATGAAACTGCTGTTGCTTGCTGCCTCTGGAACGCAGAAGGACTCCCTCATGGAAAACATTGCATTTTCATGGTTGCCATGTAATAAATGATGTAATCTGGAAGCACTGTGTGTTCTGGCAAGGTATCTGCAGTCACCCTTTTATGTGATGTGTCCTTTGCCTGGGTGTGTTCTCATCGGATAGGAATGTTTCAAGAACAATTGCAGCTACAACCTGGGCTTGATATGCTGGTATCCTAAGAGGAGGAGTAGATGTTGTAATGTAAGCCATGCAGGCGACTGCCTGTGTACGCTGACAGTATGTGCTCAGACTGAAACATATGCTGTTCCTGTCTAAACTGGGGCACAGTTGTAGCGGTTTCACTGATCATATCTTCCTCCTGTAAACTAGATTTAGCATAGGTCTGAGGTTTCACAATACGCTCATCATACTCTTAGTGTATTTCATAGTATCAGCTTGCAGTGAGTAAGCCTGTGCTTGATGCTGATGTGCAGGTTTTTAAATTGTCAGTTTGTACAAACAGCAAAGCATTAATTTACACCTCAACAAAGTCAACGTGTCCTGTTGACTTTGGTAAGTTACAGCGTAATAAGCACCTTCTGTGATGTGAGGTTTAATTGTCTGAGGGACCAGAGGGACATTTCGTGCAGTTGCTGCAGACCACAGGCCTTATCTCATAACAAAGGGTGTTGCCCTGTGTCTTTGACCCTGCAAAGGGCAGGGCAGGTTGTAGTTTTTATGATGCTCACAAGCTGCTGCATGCCACCACACATTGCCCACTGGCCTCATCACACTTGATGTGTGTTATCATTCCTCATCCTTCATTGCTCAACTGAACTACACAGGCTGTCATTCAGTGCTGATGGCGCCCAACTCTGCCCTGCTGCTTGGTCTCGTGGTCTCTCCTTGTTTAGCCAGAAACGACTGCAGTTGGAACACTAAACAGACGGGCTTGTTTTTATGCTGTAGCTAGTTTATAAGTTAAACATGAGGGATGTAATGACCTCTTTGAGGCTTGTACAAATTCAGGGCTGGGTCAGTGTAATATGCAGACTTCAAGGAAGAGATTTTTATACAGGCTGGGCTGACTTATTTACATGGTTTTTAATTCATATGATTAGATGCAATCTTCTGCTGTGCTTTTTGTTTACAACCACTGACATACTGTCTGGTCAGTTTTCATGAACATATCTAACTATAGGTGTGTCACCTTTCTTTAAAAAGCTCATCTTATCTTCTTTTTTTTTTTTTTTTTTATTAGAGTTCAAAGAGGCATTTTCGCTCTTTGACAAGGATGGAGATGGCACCATCACCACCAAAGAGCTGGGCACAGTCATGCGCTCTCTTGGCCAGAACCCCACAGAGGCAGAGCTGCAGGATATGATCAATGAAGTGGATGCTGATGGTGAGAACTTAAAATTGGCTTCAGAACCTGTTAAGCACATGCGTGTGTGGAATGGAATTGCCCATAAAAGTCTGCGTTTCATCTTCAGGAAATGGGACGATAGACTTCCCCGAGTTCCTGACCATGATGGCCAGGAAGATGAAGGACACAGACAGCGAGGAAGAGATCAGAGAAGCATTCCGTGTCTTTGACAAGGTTAATACTGTCTACACTCGTGCACATGTGTATCTGCAGCATTTATTATGATTATTTTCTTACTGAATGATCTTAATATTCAGGATGGCAATGGATACATCAGTGCTGCTGAGCTGCGCCATGTGATGACAAACCTTGGAGAGAAGCTGACTGATGAGGAAGTGGACGAGATGATCAGAGAAGCAGACATTGACGGGGATGGCCAGGTCAACTATGAAGGTTTGTATATAAGTTGTATTGTGTATTCTAATCTGCTTGGAGCACTCATTGGATACTGATGGATAATTTTATCTCCCCCTTTTTTCCCACAGAGTTCGTACAAATGATGACAGCGAAGTGAAGGCCTTGTACAGATTTCGTATATAAATAATTTGCCTTTTTTCTTTGTGTAATTTATCTGTAAAATCTTAATAGCCCCCCTTGGTCCCTGCTCCTTCTGCTGTCCAAAGGAACTGCATGTAAACTGCATAGGCTCTTGTCCCCATGTCCCTTTCTTTTGCTGTCATGGTGTTTTGGAGTGACGGAACGGTCGTACAACCAGATGCTCGTGGAGGCCCCTGGGAGCCGGAGAACTTCGAATCTTCCTGTCTTGTGTGCTCGGGGCCCCTCCACGCATGGCGACATTGGAAACCTGTCAGCTGGTTGTCACTTGGCAACACTGTTGGCATGGAAACAATGTAGAGGAGTTTAAACTCTGCATGGACTACGGACAAAGTATATATGGAAATCTTTCAGCATTGCACTATTGCAAAAAAAATGACACGGGTGTATCTCCTAGGTACTCGTACAAACTCTTTTTGTATCTGCTGTTCTATATACCAGAAAACGACTAATCTTATGCTTTTTAATGTTTTACTCACTACTTTTATTTTTCTTTTGTTTTCTTTTTTTTAATGACCTCTGGTCATGCCTCAAATAATTCATTCCAAGTTGTATATTTTTGTTTTCCAATAAAATTTACAATCTACCCAGATATGAAAATTGTCTTGTTTTCTCAGTTATGGATCCTTGAGTTTGTATACCCTGTAATAATTCCCGTTTTTGTATTGACAGGATGCTCCTATTTTTCTTTTTTTTAATAGGACTTTTTTTTTTTTCTCTTGTTGCGTAGAATACACACCAAATGTTTACCGTTTCTAGATTTAAAGTGTCCCCTGTTAATTTCCCAAAAGCACTGAGGAGCATCAGCCAATGCCTCTTAATGTTCAGATAAGCTCAGATGAAATTGTATTGTCATTAAAATAAAAGCACTGAGTGGGATCAAAGGCTTCTATTGTGAAGTGCACGCAATGGTACTCAACATTAGATTAGCCTTGTACTGTCCAGCTCCCTGACTGACTATAAAGGCCATGTGTTGTCTGCTGCTGTTGGCACAGCACCATGTAGAAGCTGACTGCCTCATGTCTTACTTGGCATTTTCCCCAATCACGAGGTGCAGGTGATTGTACATCAGAAACCATGGTGTAAATAGAGGTGTACCTGTTTTTTTATTTTATTTCTGATTATTGAGTTTGTTACAGTAGCTTGCAGAGATACTAAGTTTGTTATTTTGACGAATGACAAAATAAAGCTCTATTGTGGACCTCTGCTCTGTGTACTTTGTGGATTTTTTTAGCTGCTATTATAAGGCTGTGCCCTTGATCCTATGCAGTGGTTGGAATTCCACAGAAGACTCTAAAAACAGTTTTACAACTTGAGTTTTTTTCTTCTGTGATGCTTTACTGTCTGTCGGGAGTCATTAGGGCGGCTGTTTGTGTTTTGGTCAGTCATGCATGATGAGGAATTTCCTTGTGGATGCACATTCAAACATAGAGCATTCTAAGTGAGGTAACAGCTTATACACGCAGTAGAACTGCGATGTGAAACAGCTTTTTATTTTCACTACACATGACTGTCTTGAATGTAGCTCAAAGTTGGGTAGTTGTATGTAGTCTGCACAGTTGATTTCCAAGCCAACAGAAATGCATCGTGACCTACAACAATTTCAGGTGTGAATCGAGGACACGAGTGATTCTAATCTCGTCAAAACCAATTATCGCATGGCTGAAAACTCTCAGCTTAAAGTGTTATTGCTGTCAGCTTGTAAAAAGCTGTTAATTACACAACTCATGTCTGCGCTTATGCACTGTCCACACTTAGTAGACTGAATATACATCAGGTGCTGTGATGGAAACTGACATGTAAGGATAACAACTTCTTTCTTTATGTGTGTGTATTTGTGTACTTCTCATGTTCTCTGATCTCATTTCCTTCTCAAGTAGCATAAACATGAATTCTTGGTTCCTTCAAACTTTGCATTTCCATGTTGCCTAGCAACGAGGCTGAATGTTGCGCCTTTGCTCCCAGAGCGAGACTTTCACTTCAGGTGTTGGTTTAAGTTCTGCAGATTTCTGTGTGTGTGTGTGTGTGTGTGTGTGTGTGTGTGCTTGTTCCTGACATCACACTTCAGTCTAGTATGATACTTGAGGTAAGATCCACAGAGAAGAGGTTCAGGTGACAACAGTATTCAGAAGCTGAAAGATTGATAGAGTTCTCTGTCTTTACAAATGTCCAAATGAGAGAATAAATTGCATAATTTAACAGTAGAGTGCATACCTCCATTAAAGCTCAGCGGTCCCCTAAAATCAATCAAGCTGCACCAATTTTCACCCACTCAAATATCAGTTCACAATATGTGCCGAATTTGTTTTTCATCAAGATCCATAATAACTCCCCGGGGAATCTGTGCAAATGTTGAAAAAAACGTCCTGTCTCACATTCCAGCATTCCTGGATCTGCACCATAATCTGGATCTGCACCACAATGTCACTCAGTAGAGCGCATACTGTACCTCTGGCAAGGCCCAACAGCCCCCTTTGTGAAACCACATTTAAATTTACTAGATCTGCACCAGATTGCACAAATTGCCTCATTGATAGCAGTCCTGCAAACTGGCCAGATCTTTTCATCAAGGTGTAGAAAAAAAACCTCCCTGGATCCACACGTAAATGTAATAGTTGCCACCATGGGTCATGCCCTGCCCCTCCACAAAATGTGATGGGAATTGGTTCAGTTGTTTTTCCATAATACTGCTTACAAATAAACAAAAAAACCAACCAACCAACAAATACATGGAAAGGATAACTTCCAGGGTGGAGGTTAGTATTTGTTCGGTTATTGGACCACAGGAGGTCCTCAGACCATAGTTTGGAAACCTGCTTGCTCCTTCCAGATGCAGTGTAGAATGAGACTTGTGTTCTCTTTATTGCCAACTCTCCGCCTGTATATTCTTGTCAATCGCATAGTCTCCCTCCAAATATCAGATGAGAGTAGATGATGATCATGAGGACTAAGTAACTGCAGCATGTGCTGTATGTACTGTACCTCTGTGCTTGCCATTGTGTCTTCCTCTTAGTATAACTGGTAGGTGAGTCTAAATTTAGCCCCTCACCAGGCCAGCTTGTTGAAAAATTGATCGATAGTGGAGTGGCTGCTATAGTAACAGTCACAGTTTTAATGGTGGTCAGGTGTCACGGGATCTCCAGTCGAGCAGATATAGGGAGCAACATGAGTACAGCGCAGGACACGGTCACATGGAAACACAAAGCTGCCTGTAAAGTCGCTGAAATGTCCAGGGGAGGTAATAGAACAGATAAGGTAAGGGTCTATCTTTACAGCCCTCATAACTGTGTGTCTGCTTAATGAGGATGAGCAGAGCTGCTCCAATGATACACGCTGGAGATGCATCAGGACATTGTTGGCATAGCAGTGTCATAAGAACTGAAACAATCCACTGTGTCCTGGTCTTATCTGCAGGGTGATGACAGGGTGGACCTGTGTGGCCGTGGGAGCTGGTGGCTGCGAACACTGAAAGTAGGTGTCATGCTGCAATGTGGTTTCACAGCCTGTCCTCACAGCAGACGCTACTGCTCGGGTGTCTGAGCTGAACACTTGTCACTGGTTTGTCGATGTGAAGAGGCTCATTAGCTCATGTGTAGCTGTAGCAGTGCCGTGCTGCCTTCAGGTACCTTCCAATAGTTATGGTTTGAGAATAATAAAACAGAGAAGAGCAACATAAAACACATCATTGTTCTTGAGACGTGTTTAGTTTTCAATTACTGGCTTTTATTGCACTTCACTTTCCCGTTGTCTCTTTCCAAAGTGTGCTGCCTGCCGGAAATAAATTCAAACACTTACGCTGTTCTGAGTCCAGCACCTAAGTGGTCCACAGTGCATATTCTAAAAACACATAGACCTAATTAATTATCAGTTTATATTAATGTGATCCAAGCTCTCTGTCTCCATTTTTAAACAGCTTCCTTCTTCTGTCCAATGTTTCCCACACACCATTAATAGACCAAACAGCTCAATGTTTCCAACATTTACCTTCAGTGCAGTTCAGTTACATGAGCTCTGCTTGTACATACAGGTGTTTTATCATCAGACACTAGAGTTTAAATTGTTTTAAGGAAACCTGAAGCTTGTTTCAGTGATGTTGGAAATTATTAATGGGAAGTCAAAGGCAGTTTTTAGAACACAAGTTTGTTTCATGACTCAGACTGCAATTCCACTTCACAGTCATATATGCTGGCTCTTCCATGGTTCTAATTAGTTTTTTATTAAATGAGGTGAAACTTCACTATTAACAGCTGAGACTGAAATGTGATTGGTCATGCGCATGTATCGGCAGGACTTGGATACTGCAGCTCCACCCCCGATTTCTACTGCACAGACTCAAATTACGTAATTTAGGAACAATGGCAATGGCTGTGCATACAGACAATGATCCTGTGATTCCTACAACATGCTAACATGCTAATACAGTAACAATTTTCCAATCCCAGCAACAACCAAACATTCCCCAAAGCATTCCCCTCTCATCCTCTCCCAGGACACACCCCTCCCTGGTCTCTATCACATTCGAGACTTCATTGAAGAAGCTGAACTGAACCCTGTGAAGAAAACCTATGGGTTTAAAGGTGTGGGCAGAAAAGCTAAGACCCTGGGTGTACGTAACGGGGAATTGCTGATGCCTGGAACATATGATTACACTGATTCCACCCAGGAGGTTCTGATGAACCAGGCGTCCTACTCTTTCAAAAACTGTCCTCGGCCCGACATCGTCACCCTCGGCATCAGAGACAAGGTGGGCTTCAGATTACTCCCTTGGGACCATGTGTTCTTATTGCAGATATTCTAAATATTTGGTCAAAATGTGTGATACATTTTGATGCAACTTCAACTATGGTTACATTAAGAATTAAGGAAGTTACAGACAAGTCTCCAGCTGTTGTTTGTCAAGAAAGAGTAACATCACCCACCTCCCCTTCAAAACCATACACATTTATGTGACTTTGTGGTAATTAATCAAAGCAGATGTTAATCAGAGAAATGATTTGTGCTTTTGATGCTTAGACAGAGCCGGGCTAGCTGTTTTGCTTTCATCAGCTCCTGTCTCTGCCTGCACACTTAGAATACAGATGCTTATCTTACTCTTTGTAAAAAATGAACAAATACAAGAAAATAGAGGCATTTCCCAAGTACAACAAAATATAACTCGAGGGTCACTTGGACAGTGGATATACCTCTGACAACAGTAACAGGCCATCACCATATGGCATTTACACATATTGAGATCAGCTTCACCCGGATCATTATCTGAATCTGCACCATATTTCACTTGATCGTAGATATTTGCGCTCTACACATATCCAATTTCTTTCATCAATACTAACCCTAACCCTCTACATAATTTCTTAAGAACCCTTGAACTATACCCCGCCCTTCCACCAGGTTTCACCAAGACTGGCTCTGCAGTTTTTGCATAATCCTGCTAAAAGTCAAATAGGCCTCAATGAAAACATAACCTCCTTGTGTTTGGTGTATTTAAGTCCATAATTCAATTCCTGTTCCTAAACTGGTTTTTCCAAAATCTTAAACAGTTACTGTTACTGTTTATGTTTTATACCACAACCTAAAAACTGATGCAATGCATTTCCTGCTAAAGATATTATTAGCAGGAACTGTTGCTCCACCACATCGACAGCATCTTAATTCTAGTTTCAAGGCCTAAGGGGTTCTTTTACTTAAGCACTCTTTATTATTCATAAGTATTAATAGTGTATTTGGCATTCAGATTTCATCAGAGTGCTTTGTTTAAAAATACAGGAGCTGCTCATTAAAATGAACCCGACTACCTGAAAACAGTAGCTGTGTTGGAAACAGAAGCCGACTGTATGCTATGTGTGCAAGAGCAAACAGAAAGCAGACCCATGTTGATACTGTCACATGAACGGGTCTTTTTCTTTGCTCCCTGTGCCAGCATATAAACACTTCACCGTGCGACTACGATGTGATGGCGAAACCAGTGGAGAAGACTCCCTGCAAGTAAGCTCTCGACAAACAGCCTGACTTTGACTCTCAGATCACAGCGGAGCAGCCAACCCATGATTCATCCCTTGATCGCAGAGTCCTTCCTCCTTATTCAGCTTCTCCTTCCCTCTCTCTCATCCTCCCTCCTCGCATCCACAACATGAAAGAGCAACCACCAACCTGCTCTCTGTTCTCTGCTTCTGGTCAAGCACAACCTTATTCTTTTCTTTTCTCTCTCTTCGCCTCATTGTTGTCCTCTCTTGTTCTTGTTCTTCTTTTTGTTTTGACAGCCCCCCTCCTCTCCTTGCAGGCATGTGATGTTTCGGTCGACTGTGCAGAGGATCAGCTTTCCGCCTGTAAGTATCTGGTCACCAAGACTAGTTATTAAGACCAATCTGTCTTTCCATTGCAAACAAAGGGACTTCATTACGATAGACTTTCAATAGGTTTTGATTACAAGCTATGACGTGTATCTGGTTTGTGCTGTACGCAGGCTAGTTATGACATTTACAAGGGTCAAAGAAAACCGATTCCCCCGGCTGGTTCTATCGTTTGTCCCATTTGAGGTCCTGTTATGGCACTGCACTGGCTGACCAGTCAGCTTTGGTTCATATTGCAGGGTGTCGCAGCCTCACCCATGTGTCCATGCTGGTAGCTGATGGATATTTGAGCCGTGCTGGCAGCTGCTGTGTGTTGACAGAGAAGGAAAGGCGCTAAGAAATCCCGCGGGTGTTATTACTGCAGAGTTGGGAGCAGTTTTCTGCCATTAGTGGTGTCATAGCGACTCAAAGACAAGTTTACTGTCAAAGGTTAAGCAGCTACAGAAGTGCCGCAGCAAAGTTAACTGAAATCGCAGATCGGTCAGACAGCTGACATGATGGAGTTGACTAGACATTAGTGGATCAGAGTTGAGGCGTTGTCATGGTTTACTCTGGGAATTCTAGGTCCATCCTGAAATGGGAGATCAAAATTTTGTACTTCTCTGTGAATGGATCCCAGAATAAAATGAAATTGAATTCCACACCTTTAAATATGAAACCTCTTGTGAACTGACAATGTTTGGGAACACAATGTTAAGTCTAGTTTTAGTTCGGACCCCAAAGCAGAGACTGAATACAGGTGTAGATAAATGAAGAGTTGATTGCTAAACAAAAAGCAAAGCAGAGCAGGCACTGGAGGCAGAGAACAGGCTGGCTGGTAGAATCCCAAGGAATGCATGAGTGCTGAGCACATGGATGAGAAAAACTCAGTGACATGGTGTAGGCAAACAGCAAGGCACAGGATTACTGAGTAAAATGAAGAAAAACATAGAGGTACTTTGGTGAGGGACTTTTTTAAAAACACGAAAGATTTTACCAAGAACAAAAAATGCATCGCAACTACAGAACTAGACAGAATCATCTGGCAGAGCAGTGGAGCGAAGACCAGGCTTTTATGGACAGGTTGATGAGTTGAGTGGAAGCAGCCTTGTCTGCAGCAGGAGAAGCCAGCCACGCCCCCTGCCACCACACATGCCCTGCAGGAGAAAAGAACAGAAAGGAGAGGGGGAGAGAGAGAACACACAAAAGCATCACAGCATCATCACACACGAAAAGAAAACAATAAGCTGTATATGTTCTCTTTTCTTATGATTGGACTTAAAGGTTCAGTGTGTAGAATTTAGTGACATATAGAGAAAGTTGCATGTTGCAGCTGAATACCCTTCACCCCCCGAAGCCCCTGTGAATCCTAGATGTTGTGCTTTCTTGCAATATCGACTGCACATGCTGCTCAGAAAGAACACATTCTCCCTCGAGATTCAAACCTGTTTGATTAAAGTCATAATCACAGACTTTAACACTCTGAAGACCAGGCTGATGTCTAGAACTTTTCGTTTTTTCTTATTGGTCAGTTCACCACTTCCAGGCAAACCAGACTTTATTCAGACAAGTTCTTTAGAGGATGAATTGTAACCTGTTGTGACCTTGGTGTTTTCTTGACTTTTAGTTCTCTTGAGGTTTTGACATTTTTTTTGTGAGGATATATCTCTTCAACAATTTTGATGTTCTACATTTAATCAATCAATCAAATTTTATTGTATAGCCCATATTCACAAATCACAATTTGTCTCATGGGGCTTAGCAAGGTGAGACATCCTCTGTTCATAACCCTCAACAAGAGTAAAGAAAAACCTCAGAAAGAGCCACATGTGAGGATCCCTCTCCCAGGACGGACAGAAGTGCAATAGATGCTGCATGTAACTGAACACATCTACAACATTGATTAGAATTAAATGTGATACAGGTATTCATGGTGCCCAGAGGATGTATTTTAATGATTCTGTACTAATTCACATGGTAGCATGCTAACTGGGTAAAAATAAACATTAAACCTGGTACATTAGCATTGTAATCGGAAACATGATAGTGTGCCAACATAAGCATTAACAGACTCTACTGGTACAGAGCCACAAGCAGGGCTGTGTCATAGTTTTGTTTCCTTGGAAAAAAAACATTGGTAGTGCTATGTGAAATATTTTATATTTATATGGAGGCAAAACATCCTCGCTGCTAATTTTCAAATCAGAATATCATATTAATTTCACTTCGCCACCTACCTACTCCACAGAGAACACTCTTAATGTGCTGTGCCACTGTAGGAAAGTAGGTCAGGTGCTGAGGTTCAAACACACACACACACACACAGACACACACACACACACATCTGTAAAAGTTTCACTGTTGTCTGCTGGCTCCCATGAAATATGCCTCCATTTGCACCTCTGGGAGCATCCCCAGGCACGATGGGGGCCAGCGGGACAGTTGTACACGATCAAGTGAACTGGCAACATGGTTTAAATGGCACGTAGCAGCCATTCCTCTAAGGGCTGGAGAAGAGGAAAAGACACCTCCCTGTCTCCCTCGGTCAGAATCAGAGCTGAGAATGAAAGACTGGTCCGGTGTTCAGGGACAGGGAGATAGTTTTATGTCTGAGGAGGGGGGTGGAGGGGTTTGATGCTATTTCTGCATGGCACGCCGCTGATGATGACCAGTATGTGTGTTAGTGGGGAAGAGGAAGGGAGAAGTGAAAGGCAAGGAGAGGGAGAGAGTAACCTTATCCTAAACAGAGCAAAGACCATACAGTCACATGGTGAATGATATGTCCTTAAAAATATGTGATGTAAAATAGGTCTCATGTTTACAGAGAGTGCATCCCTCAGATGCCTGGAGTTACAGCAGGGTTTAACAATAGAGTTTTCATGAGTGCAGGTCCAAGGGTATAACAATTAATCTCTCATTTAGCACTTAAACTGTGAGAGGTCATGATGACCGGAGCAAATCAGTTTCTCTGGCCTCAGGGGATATTCACACAATCATGCTGTCTGCTTTGGATTCTTATGAATAATGCAACTTTAATTCAGGTGGCGTAAAAACTCCATGTGGTCTTCTGAGGGAGCATGACCTGTTGTTTAAAGGGGTTTAGCTAATTACAGTCAAGACTAGTCTCCTCTTGCCTCTGGATTTTGCATTTTTGACTCTGCTTGGTAACTGAACCTCTGTCTAATAAGCAGGCTGCTGACAACATCTCCTGCTAACTGACACTTCCAGTAAAGATAATGACAAGGAGATGGAAAATCCGTCAAGGTAGTAATGTTCAGGTCACAAAAATACACTTATACATTTCTGACCTGACAAAGGTAACCACCTTACATACTTACATCACATGCTAGCTTTGCCCTGTAACATAATGAAATTCTTTTCTACCCCACATGCAAAGACGTGGGGTAGAAAACTGCAAGAATTGGGACTGCATTCTTTTGAGGTTGGATTTAAAGACTGATTGCATCACAGTGATGCGACCAGGCCGTCCCACCAGTACTGTAAAGTACGGCCAATGGAAGACAGAGTCTTGGTCCAGTCTTGGCCTGCTGGCTACACCCGAAGCCCCAAAACATTGACTGTTACTTCCAGAGGCTAATTCATTATCAATTGCAGATTACAAATATAATAACCAGATTGAGCTCACCAGTGCTTTGTGTTTAGCCTTGTTTAAAATTACCACTGCTACAAACTGTTTCTCACTGGAATATGTGTCAGAGCTGCCACTGTTGTCTTTCAAAAGGTGGAATATGGAAGTATGACGCATGCTATTTCACCTCTGAACCACAAGATCACGGCCTTCCAGAAAGCTGCTTAATTTCTTAATATTGAACATATCTGTATAAAAGCTGACATTGTAATGTGTTTTCTACCCAACACCTTGTCCCTGATTGTTGTGTCTATTACTCTTGAGCTATATATCATGCTAGTGTAGGGTTGTTCAAACGATTCAATGACTGTTTGGGTGAACAAACTGAGCTGTATCACTTCCTGCAACGATCCATATAATTCTCACATGGGTTGAGCTCAGTCAGTTGCGAGTGAACGTGCAGAGATACACTCACTCACTGAGTGACTGACACAAGTCATTGAGTCACTCACCCCGAGTCAAGTCAGAGAATCTCTGAAAATGTGATTTGTTCATATGGATCCCTGTGAACAAATCAGTGACTTTGAGTCACTCACTTGAATCACGTTAACAGGGTGACACTCAGTCATTGAGTGGGAGATTTAAGTCATTTCCTTTGCAGGAGGAAATGAGTCAAGTCTAGGTGGGAACATCATTGATTCCGGTGGGAAATTACCACAGCAACAACAAAACCTGTCACAAGTAGCATATTGGAACAAGTAGCAACAGCACAAATTATGGGTCAGTGATTATCGATAGCATTAGAAGATGAAAAGAACATCAGTAAATAAATATAGATAAATAAATATATAAATATCAGAACACCTGCATGGCAACAATATGAATACTAAAGAGACTGTCCCTGATGATCTGATGATTTTTTTCACAGAATGTACTGCACAGTGAACATGAGTCCTGAATACTCATCGGCTCAAACTGTTAGACTGTGACGGTTCAGTGAGTGGGACACGTCAGTTTCTTTGATGAACTGTGTGAATCAGGGCTTTGAAAACTGCTTTACACATCGCAACATCATATTTAGCTAAAGTTATGGTCTCTGCAATTCAGATTACTTAACATGCTCTGTCACTGAAGCTTGCCTAATGACCAAGCTCCCTGCCACGAGCTACTGCCAACAGACATTTTTGAGATATGAACAGGACCGGACGCTGCAGGAGGACTCGAGCCTCCATATGGTAAATTTCAATTAAAAAAAAAAAAAAAATATTTGTATTCAACTGAAAAGAAATTATAAGAAAAACAAGCTACATTCTACCTGACATTTTCTTTTTGTAATCAACTTTAAATCAGCTCAGGTGCATGCCACAAACAGCTCATCCACTTTACACAGTAAAGCTCCTCCATCTCACCAAGCTCCATTGTTAATATCAATGAATATTAATGAATTAATTAGATATCATATAGACATTTACAATCAAGAATGAATGGGAAAAAGTCTCTGTGTGATTACATGGTAATGATTATATGCTCGCCATGCTCAGCAGCATATTGAGGTTTGCTCACAAAATCAATCAATCAATCAATCCCCCATTAATAGCTCCTCTCTGTGACCACCTCAGAGGGAGGGACCTGCTCCATGTCACTATAATCCACAGACCAGACCTGGGAAAGGCATCACTTCCTGCTTCAAATCCACTTTGCCACGGCTTCATTATGCTGACCTAGTGAGTCCGGTACATCACTTTACACCTCCATCTGTGGACACGTACAAAACCACATCATTTGAAGTGCAGCCATTTTAAAAACCTCTGCAAACACACACACACACTGGTGTTTTAGATGTGGTCAGGGTAAAAATGTGTGGAACCAAGGCGGAAATGTATTAAGTCACAAAACCCTGAGTACCAATAAGAATGATGAGGGGTTAACAAGTCATCCTGCCCACATAGTTCTGAGAGGTAAACCAGACAACAACTGTGTGGTTGCAACTGTAGTGCTGCTTTCAAATAGAACCTATGAGCTCATGGTTACGACATGAAGTCATAAACATGGTCTGCTTGGCATTCAAGTGGCAAAGTTGTGAGAACACAGACACTACAAAAGCGCAGCATGGATGCTAATGTTAGTTACTGTCGGTGCCTGGAAGTCAAAGTTTAGCAAAGGCATGACAGAGGGCAAAGATGGAATATCAGCATTTATCTCAGACATACGTTCAGATGGACTCTACTTGTGAACACAATAAATCAGCCCATTTGCATTTATGGGTAAAAGTACAAACTTATATTTACTTGTACTTTATATCCTCTTGGCTGCATTAGGACATAGTGGGTTGTTTCTCATTGATGAGCAAGTAAAAAGTTACATTAATATAATTACCTCATTGTGGTGTTGGAACTGATTTCCATATGACTGATGGAAATATATGAAATCAAAGTGGCTTCATAAAGTATCCAACTTTATTGTGTTGAAGACTGAAGACTCTTGTTTACAAAAGCACTCAGACCATACGCTGTGAATTGTGGTCAGGTCTTTACATTGATCGTATTAATTATATATGGTATTAAATATATAAATTAAATCTGCATTAAATTAATGTGTAAAAACAATGTCTGAATACTTTCTAAAGCAAGTGACCTTAACAGGATGCAGCAAAGGACACATATGTCCTATATACAGGACGCTAAGAGAACCGTAGATAAGCTCAGCACTTGAGAACATTCTGTAAACATTTTACATGTACTTGAAAATGTCTTAACAATGAGTAAGAGATGAAAAATTTATTCATGTGTGTGTGTGTGTGTGTGTTGCGCAGAAGACCCCAGGACCAGGAGCTTACGAACCAAACTGGAAGTTTGGCGGCCATCTGAACACAGAGATCATGGACCCCTCATTTAGTCTCTTTTTCCGCAGCATTCCCTAGCGTGCTCTTTATTTCCCATAAGGCCCTGATCCTCCCTTCATCTTTTCTCTCATCAGCCTACTGTCGGATCACACGTGACCCTGCCTCATTGATGACACGACAATAAAATCATGCTTCACAAACAAACCCTCCAGTCTCTTATTACTCGGACTCATGTTTATCAGTGATGGATTTTGTGGGCCGCCAACGAATAATCAACTACATTCGTTGTGCTCAAATCTCTTTAGTGACGCCAGCCAGGGAAGCAGAATGATCTTATCTGCAACAAAGGGTACTTCATTCCACTTAACTACATGTTCCCGGTATTGCTCTCTCCCTTCATCTCTCCTCACGCCTGCTCTCGCTCCTCTCTCCCTCTCTGTTGGCAGTCAGGCTGCTTCGCCTTCCTACTATCTCTGGCCTACGATGCACTCAGGAGGAGGAATGCTGCTCAGCCATGCGTCACATGCACATAGCTTAGTATGGCATGCTGCACCCTCAGATAACACATTCAGTATTAGGGGCCAAGGCAGTGGCACACAATAAAACAGCTATTCTTATCGCTACCTACTCTGCATACTCACCCTTTCTTTCGACGAACAAACATGGGCAATAACACGGAGAGCAGCGGTGATAGGAATCACCTCACATGGAACATAATGGTGGTGCAGATAATAACAAGGAAAAGGTACAAATTAAATATATTTCAGGTTTATTATCATGATATCAATATAGAAAATATAGTTTTCCTAGCTTTTACTTATTCAGAGAAGCTGAGCATGTATGCACTTTATCAGCACTGCTTCATATCCACAGAGTTGAACACTGACAGCCTGACAGCAGCAGAATTTGTTGTCACAGCCAGTTCAGACAGAGGGAGTGCACAGTCATATTCATCCATACTGGCCCACCCAGATTCAGCTATCAGATTCAAGGTAATTAAAGCCCACTTGATTGAGCTTTATTTTAGTGCATGAATAATCACCCATTCAGTAAAGAGTCTGCTGGCTGCTTCATTGACAGAAAAGCGGTCATGACTTTGATGGAGGATCTCGGCTCATTTCTTTGATCTCATTTGGATGTAGACACTCAACAAGTGTTCTCTTGATAAGTGAAATGAACAAAATATGTAAAGTCACCACCGATTGAGCAGCTAAACATGAACTCAGTTTTCCAGTAAGAAGTATGAACTTGGTTCCACTCACAAATCTAAGAAGGCCAGATTTACCCTTACGAAATTGAAGTGAAGCACTTTATTGATAAACTGTATAATAGTAATGATGGTAATAACAAAAAATGTTTCGAATAAATGACCTTGTGCAATGTGAAAGTTTACAAATCCTTGACAGCAGCTATCCTCAGAGCTTTTTAGCCCCAATCAATTGTTTAATCATTAATGCCTTTATTTCTATTCCGTATCACTGCTCTCAGCAGCAGTATATATAGCAGCAGCAGACAGCTACTATTAGCTACTGGCTGGTGAACCAAATATTTCTTTAAGGATGTGGTGGAGACCAAAACAGATATGAAGGACAATATAAGACTTTAAGAACTATTTCAACCTACATTTAGACCTGGACTATATGAGCAGAAAACTCTTTTATGTTGCACCATGTTTGCTTGATGTGCATAAAGTGATTATATGAAAATATTATGTTTGCATCTTATTGCCCTGTTTGCCAGGGATTTAAAAAAACACCAACACCGGCAGAAAAAAACAATTAGTGCTCCTTTAAATCTGCTGACATGGCGAATGACAGCACAAGGCACATGGCTTGTACTGTGAAGAAAAGACAACTGAAGCCATGTTACTGGAACGCTTGTGATGTTATCACTCCTGACTAACTGTAAATATCTGTGGGATCATGAAACACCTTTGGAGCTGCAACCTGTTATTTTCCCAAAGGTTTTAATTGGGATCGCTGTGTGACACAGTCATAATACTTCAATCTCAAGGCACCTCCACTGCTACGTTAACACTCAGGGTCAGTATCCCCAACGCAGGTAGGGAGTGTCATGCTCCAGGGAACTTCAGCAGGGTGAACCAAGTACATACAACTAAAGGGAGGGCAGAGGTTTGTTTGAAGAATTACTTCTCAGCCATTACAGATTACCTCAGGGGATTTTGTAACATGTGAGACATTGTACATAAAGAGGCCTTGCACTGACTCCTCCAGCTGTACTGACATCAGTTCAGTCTTCTCTTTGTGACAACACTCGAGGCAAGGTATGCAGGACGTTATCACAGCACATCTTCTTGGCCGACTTTAGTCTCCTCCACTGTTTTCCTTCAGTTGCAGACACTTAAGAGCATGAAGAGGTTCAAGAGCCGGGCTCTTATTCCCGCTGTCATTATTCTGGAGACAAAGGAGCGTATACTTCCACCCGGAGAGGAAGACAATCTTATTAACATGCAGCTTTGCACACAGCCTCTGGAGGGCTGGGCCTGAGCGTCCACTGCTTGTGAGGAAGGATGCAATGAGAGAGATGTGTATTTGTGAGCCTGTACGTGTGTGTTTGTGTGTGATGAGTCAACGCACCAAGCCCCCAGTAATCTCTGCCCGTCTCAACCCCCGGCGCCCTTCCTCCCTTCTCATGTCAGTGATCTCCAGAGTCCAGCACTGATCTCTGACATATGCCTCATACTGACGACTTAACACCCTCCATCTCCCACAGCCTGTCTCAACCACAGGCACGGCCCGGCACCGGCTCTTTCGCTGTCAATCAGGCCCCCCGCACATTGCTTCAAAGAATACGCAAGCAGCCGCACAATGCCATACATGCAAATACACGCGTGCCCTGGTAATCCACTGCTTTTTGAAAAATACTTGCCAATAGACGCACAAACGTGCACGGACTTGGATGGACTCAGGGATTTATTGCTGAAAAAGACTTGAATATCCCTGAAAAAATCAAATTCTTATACAAATGCTGAAAAGGTTTAAAATAATCAACAGTTTTGTATAAACTCTTGTTCAATGCAGCAGAGGAAATGGTCAGCATAGCTAACACGTGCACAACAGTGAAGACTATACATGCACTGCACAAATCCTGACACAGACTTTTCATCTGCGCGGCGAGAAAGGGATTTAAGATTTGAGATTTAAGTTGCATTAAAGTTCATAAGAGCATCTGGTGTCAGGACAGGTCGTGCTGGGAGCCCAAACATCAGCGTCAGTTTCCAGGACCAGCTTAATGAGAACATTCAGGAGTCACAACAGCTTCGCGTGTCAGTGAGGGTCGGGATTCAAATCTGTGTTCTTGGCAGCTTCCAACAGGAGGTGACCCCTACCACTCAGTGGTGCAGCTGGGCGAGAGAGTCAAGGATGTTCAATTACGTCGAGACAGCGTGCTGAGAAAATGTGCCCGTGGAATGGGTGAGGATGGAATTTACTGGGAATGTGAGGTTACTCAGAAATACCCATAATCCAATAATGGTGTGGGACAAATGCCATCAGTTGCTGAGTCTCAACATTTGGTCAACAATCTCTCAAACAGAGCCGCCATTGTTCTTACACTGACATTGTGTTGAACTACAATGGCCGCTCAGTATCACAGATCCGGCCCGTCTCCCTTACTCCCCCAGCTGAATAACATGAGCACCTTGAGCAGCAGCGAGAGGGTCACACAAAGTGGCAGCAGGTTCAAAGGTGCTGCTCCCTCCTGTCTCCTTTAAATCCAGGTCACATTCACTCTCATCACCAAGTCCCGCGCCGAGACTGATGACTGGCCAGCGGAGGAATTTAGCGGGCAGTGTGACACGCCAGGAGGGTGACCAGGTGTCCGTTTACCCTCCCCCTCGAGCCGCTGACAGACACATCGGAGCAACATTACCCTTCTATTAAATGAAATTTAAAAGTTTAATCAGCTCCAAAGGACGACAGTTAGCAAACAAGTCGGGGTCATTGTTTAAGCGGGTAATGGTGCTGGCACCGTCACACTGTGTGTGGACCGGGCGCGCTGGAGGGCGATCAGGTGAGCAGGGGTAATTGATGGTAATTGATGCTCTGCCAAGCTGCTGTTGACTGCAGCATTCTTGGACTCTGTGCTTGATTATTTCAGGCTTATAAATGAGCAATAGAGCATGTCCAAAAATCAAGAGCAACAAAGTGAGTCAAATTCAACCCTTGTTTCAAATGGTTAAGCAGGATTATCAGGGCTGCTTGTGGCTTGTAGAGTAGAAGTTTGTTCTGCCTGTGAAAGTCTGACCTTTTTTCCTTCACACTTGTATTTTCTGTTCACAGCTGCACGATGAGCTGGATGAGTTTTGTACAATTACGTACTGGTTAAGGCCAGAATCCCCCATGATATAACACTGTCTCGACACCAAGAAGAACAATGGTGTCTTGGAGAAACTGAGCTTTTCAGTAAAGCTATAATTAAACTGTATTTGTGACACTGAACCCAAGTATTTCAATAAATGATTGAAGTTAAATAATTTGTTACAACACACATGTGGAGAAAGCAAGTGAATAAAATGATTTTTTTCGAATATACATGTGAACACCTCCCTTTAAATGTATTGATTTTTTTACTTTTAATTTAACCTGAACCTTTGTGGTTCATATGTCCTCATTGTAGACTATATGTGTGTATATATACACATACTGTTCATTTTTCCATTCCACCAATAAAAGCGACAATAGCAGATTACATTATGTCGATAAAAAGTAAAAATTGTGCATCTTTAGAAAGCTCACGTCAGAGCATGACCCATTAAAAAGAAATGCTTGTATCTCTTAGACTACACTTTATATACGACTCACCTTGAGGCCTTTTTTTCAACACATCCTCTTGTCAACATGTGAACACTGAGTGTCTTGTTGCTGGAACACATTTGCCCCTCGGGGATGAAACATGTATATGTATACTGTACTGGCCATTTTATTTATAAATGAGATTATGGAACTGTATCTGATCCTCATAACCTCCATCACACCCCTCTCACCCATCCATGACTCCCTGGCCTTGTTTGGACATCACAATGATGGTTTATGGTTTCCTTCTTGGCGCCTTATACCAGCACCACCCAGCCCGTGCCCTCTATATGCCCCTGCAGACCTGGCATCCCCACACACACTGACCTGAATGTCAAACACATGGGCACCTCAATCAAAGTGTTCACCACTCTTGATGGTCATTTCTAAGTTTGTTATTGACCTCTAATCAATCTTATATGGCTGCAGTGTATCTCGTGATATGTGTGTGTGTGTGGGGGGGTCACAGCAACCGTAAATGCACACTAGCACCTGCCTATCACACACTCAGACGGTCTTGTGATGCAAGGGTGTAGAAGTGAGTAACCAGAGCGACACACCTGGGTGCTCTGACGTTTCAGTGACGCAGAGGTGCAAACACAATAAGTAAGAACTTATACATGAGGCATATTGACCCCAGGTGTATGTACTGTGTGTGTGTTTGTGTGTGTGTGTGTGTGTGTGTGTGTGTGAGCCAGTAGAGCTTCATCTGCCTGTTGTCGTGGTGAAGGCTTTGCAGCAGGCCATTCCCTCCATTAATTTGTCTCCTTTTACCAGAGCAGTCAAAACCAGTGTGTATTTGAGCATGTGAACAGTACTGCACGGTGTGTACGTGTGCCTCTCATTGTCAGTGTGTGCGTGTATTTGTGCATGTGTGAGCACACCATGTAATATTTCACTCCTTACCCACAGGGATTAGACCATTCATCTCCCGGAGCCCCTGTGTAGGTGTCACACACGGCTTTAATGAGCAGAGGATGGAACAAGGGACAGCCAGCGAGCGAGGAGGGAAAAAGTAAAAATAGATTTTTTTTTCAGGCGGTAGAAAAGAGTGGACAGTGATCAATAATTCCAGAGCAGAAATCGAAGTATTGATAAATGAGAGATTTTCATCTGAGAAGCGTTGGGAAGGTGGGCGATGGTAGGGGGTTTTAAAATAAGACAGCGAGGGCGGGGATTAGTGTTTGCAGCTCTGCAGGAAGCTAAAGGGTTAAGAAATAGTGGGTTTGCTGAAAGCAAAGGCAGGGACTCTTCCCATAACACAAATCAATTTACACCAGCCTGAGACATTGATTATAGCTGGCTCATACCTCACATGGTAACAGCAGACATCAAACAGACACTGACAAGCCTGTAAAACAACACAACAGGGGCATTATCTGCCTCTCGCTGTGTGTGTGTGTGTGTGTGTGTGTGTGTGTGTGTTGTTCAACAGACCAGATATCTCTCCCCTTCCCCAGTTACTCAAACAAGGGGATGGCTGCTAGGCAACCAAGCCACATCACATCACATCAGGCAAACTGGGAGAGAGCGAGAGACATAGAGAGATGCAGGAGGAGAGAGAGAGAGAGAGAGAAAGGAGGAGGAAGAGGAGAAGGGGGGAGGGAGTTTGGAGGCAGGAAACTGTGCTGGCAGTATTACATAAGCCGGCAGCCCGGTCCCACTGCTCACATTAATGTGGTTAGGCACTCGGAAGTGATGTCCATTAGTCACAAGTGACAAGGCAGGTGAAGATGCACCATTCAGTAGTGATTTTTAAAAGCCATTGTGGTTTATAATGGAGAGCATTACTAAGAGATGAGTCAAAAAAACAACACAAAGAACATACACAAACACACTATTAGGGGATGAGTCGCCTACTGTACCGTACAAACAGAACAAACATAACAGGGACTGATAACACCCCAGAGGGATGGTCTTGAACAAACACACATGCATGAAGATACATAATGTAAGAGATGTACAATATGAATACACATATAGACACACACATAACGTGGAATGATAAGTGAATGCCCCTTCTACATAATATGGGAACTCTTATTTGAGGATGAAAGGGTGGTAATATCCCTCTGTGTTTGAGTGTGTGTGTGTGTGTGTGTGTGTGTGTGTGTGTGTGTGTGTGTGCGCGCACATAAAAGCTGTGTCAATCAACGTGATCATCAAAAATACATCAGAGGCTAAGATAAGGATGAAGTGGAGCTGCTGTTGTGACTGGGAGCCTATACATAATCCATGTATCTGCATTTCCACATATAACACAACAACATACTGTACAGTCCATCTCAAGACGCAACCAGCACATCTTTGCAATTTATGAATCATTAAATGAAAAATTCAGTGATTCATGAAAAATATATCATTTGTAGTATTGTTGAAATAAACGTCTTCACTAGTAATAACTCCATAGGAGATGTTCATTGATACAGTACTTAAAACATTTGTCTATACAGCCCTGTTACCTGCATCATTCTCTTTTCATGTTGATACATATTTTTCGTAATTTGTTTATCCAACACAGCTTACTAAGATCAGATGCTATGAATGTACAGATGTAGTAGTTTTGGAAACTTAGAGGATCACCATGACACAACCTACGTTTGAAGGAATATTAGAAGCTTTTTAAAAGCCTTTTTGCCTTCTTGCCAAGAGCTAGATGAGAAAATACATATCATTCTCCTGTTTGTTCATTGTTCACTGGCAACAGGGAAACAGCTAGCAAGGCTACACACTAAACAATGACTGTTTATAAAATAGGGGACATGGCAGGAGCACAAAAGTGAATCTCTTAATTGCCCCCCTGGTGGCTGGCTGGAGTATAGGTTGTGAGATTGACAGTAGAGCCCGGATTGGTCGGGCAGGTGTATAGATGGGATGTTGATAACATGGTTCCACTACACGATCAATGCTGCACAGACTCTGGCTCCAAATGTCGCTCAGATGGTAGCACCTGGGTCTGGGGTAATTTGGCTTCATTTTTCTAAATTGGGAGGAAGTGGCGACATCATTTTAGACAGTCATTGTTCCAAAGATGATGACATCACTTAACATCTGTAAGTGCTCCTGGCTCTAGCTTTAAATGTTTTACTCTAGGAAAGAAAGCAAACAGGTCTATTTCCTTAAATGTCAAACTATTCATTGCACCAGTGTATAATCATCCAGCCAGAGGCCAATTCCTTAACCTTCACTCAGACCCCAGGTCAGGCCCCCTCAGAGCTCCCTGAGAATGATGGTGAAGGGCCGTATGGGGCAAGACGCTTCAAGCTCCAATGCCGTCAAGAAGCAGTCGGGGGCCTGGCTGGCGCTCCGAGACTGCAAGGCCTCGCCCAGGCTGCTCCACGCCTCGTGAGAGGTGCTGTGGATCTGAACTGCATCACGCAGGACCTTCTCCCCGAGGTGGACACGCCCGGTTTTCACCAGCAAACGACCCTGGATGGGAATATGGATAGAGGGGTAAAAGAAGAAGTAAAATGTTGCTTCAAAATGTTAATCAAAAATGTCATGTCAATTTGTGTTTTTTGCAGTTCTTGATTTGGGAACAAAAAGTAATTAACCACTGGTTTAAAATGGGACAATGCGTCATTTAATTGTTGAATTAAATCTCCATTAACCCGACTTCTGAGGTAAATTACAGGATAAAAGCTGGAATATGGCTTACTCTCTTTTTCAAACCTCAGAACCTCATTTGTCATGTTTTTTCAAGGTCCTGAATATCTAACATTAGAACATTTTTCATTGCTTGATAAGATCAAGTAAGCAGATTGTGGCTTTTTACAAAAAAACTAAAACAAGCCAAATCTTGGATTATAATCCCTGCTGTCCTGTGGACCAGTTTAGTACAAAAACGACAGTCACAAAATAGCAACAACAACAGACTCTACACCACTTGAATTTAGAGTTATGTTCAACTGGGACTGTACAACTGAAGGGGGAAAACAATCCACAAATCAATGGATAAGAGGTAGTTCTCTGCAGTACACACACACACACACACACACACACAGATGAAGGTTTAGACCATGCTGCCTTCACTAACAACACAAGAAGAAAATCATGGGTATCCCTGAACAGACATGTAGTGCATACCTCTTCAAAAGCCTCAAATTTCCCTTAGACTCAAACAACCTGCACCAAATTGCACACATAGTTATCACACACTGATAACGCACTTAGCAGTTCCCAAAGTCAAAAATCAAGATTCTCAAGAAAATCACAAAAATGTCTAAATATATCAATGTTAAAGAACTTCCTAAAAAACATCCTGGATCCACCCGCTTAGTTGTATCTGCTCCAAAAGTTAAAGTGTTCATCCTTAGCCTGTGTACCACCCTTCCAGCCAGTTCAGTAGTTCTTGTGTAGTCCTGCTAACAGACAAATAGCAAAGAAAACATCACCTCCTTAGCAGGTGCAATTAAGGTAAATTCATTATATACTTTCTTTACTTTGTTAAAGTGAGCACAGCCAAACACTACATATTCACTTTTTACTTGCTGAAGGTGAGACATTATAGTTTAACCAGCTAGTCCTCTCCAGTCTGAAGAATGCAGCAGGGGATTGTCCAGGTCAGACGTGTTTACAACACAAGTCTCTGGAGCGTTAAGGTGAGGGGTGGCACAGCATGGAATGTATAAATTCCCCTCTATGGATCACATGCTTTTGCCCACTCTCGAACAGTGAGTCCTCCACATAATCTCCTACTGTATTCTCACATGGGCTACCTCTGACATTCGCCGGGGTTACTACCAACCGGCTGGCAGGCCAAACTCCAGAGAAAGTTTAGAGTCTCTCACTTTAAAAGCCCCTGAACTCTGGATAATAATGTTAAATTATCAGGAGTTCAGTGCATGTCTGAAAGCATCTTTGGAAAATGTTGGCGTTACCATAGGGAACTTTTCATCTTGGAAACACTGAACTATTACTGCCACCCTAAACGTCCATCTAATGTGCTGAGGATGAAGCCAACCTGACAAACCAATCTCTATACTGCAATAACAGAGGCCTGCTGGGATTAATAACTGATGAACTTCATAATATTTTACAATAAATGTCAATCCCTTACACCATTCATTTCAAGAAATGACTGAGTAATGCATTTAATTCCCCAACACAGGTCATCACTTTCAGTACAAATAGCAGGCAAGTTAAAAAACTCTGAAAATATCCTCAAAAATGAACAAAATTCTGCAAAATGGAGACAGAAAAATAAACAAGAATTATCTAAAAGCACTGGAATGTACCTTTAAAGAAGATGTTACTTCAAAGTGTTCATTTGCAGGACCCTGCTGGGCGTTGGCTCTGCCAGGAAGAGTGGTGGGTATGCATGCAAGCTCCACACTCTGCTTTTAAACTGTATTAATGTATATAATGTATGTATGTGTGTATGTGTGATAACTGGCATTTCATGTTAAGCGTATAGATGTCTAAATTTAATAAACGGCCATTATGTTTCAGGGTGTGTAGGATATATGTGAGAGAGTGAGATTACGGATGATATCAACTGTCACCATTTTAAAGGTCATACAGAACTTTGTGTGTGTGTGTGTGTGTGTTCTGTCTCTTCAGAGTTCAGCTCAGTTGGCGTGCCATGTGTTTAAGGACCCAGCAGAAAAGGGCGTTGTGCAACTGACCAACAGCATGGAGTCAAATCTGTCTTCCACACAAACATACTGCACATTCTCACACACACAATCACACACACACACACACACACACACACACACACACACACACACACACACA